CCCATATAAGACGTGGATTCTTAAAATAATTTTTTTAAGCTCTTATATAAGACGTGGATTTTTAAAATAATTTTTTTAAGCTCCCATATAAGACGTGGATTTTTAAAATAATTTTTTAAGCTCCCATATAAGACGTGGATTCTTAAAATAATTTTTTTAAGCTCTTATATAAGACGTGGATTTTTAAAATAATTCTTTTAAACTCTTATATAAGACATGGATTTTTAAAATAATTTTTTTAAACTCTTATATAAGACGTGGATTTTTAAAATTTTAAACTCTTATATGGGACGTGGATTTTTAAAATAATTTTTTTTAAACTCTTATATAAGACGTGGATTTTTAAAATAATTTTTTTAAGCTACCATATAAGACGTAGATTTTTAATATAATTTTTTTTAAACTCTTATATAAGACGTGGATTTTTAAAATAATTTTTTTAAGCTCCCATATAAGACGTGGATTTTTAAAATAATTTTTTTAAGCTCCCATATAGGACGTGGATTTTTAAAATAATTTTTTTAAGCTCCCATGTAAGATGTGGATTTTTAAAATAATTTTTTTAAGCTCCCATATAGGACGTGGATTTTTAAAATAATTTTTTTAAGCTCCCATGTAAGATGTGGATTTTTAAAATAATTTTTTTAAGCTCCCATATAGGACGTGGATTTTTAAAATAATTTTTTTAAGCTCCCATGTAAGATGTGGATTTTTAAAATATTTTTTTAAGCTCTGTGAAAAGTTTGCCCCAGCTTAATACATTTTTTCTCATAGAATTCTTAACAAAACGTATCTAAATTGGGCATAAACTTCCCATGAAAAGCCTACCTCTAATGACCCTGTGGCCATCCCTTCTTGGATAATAATCGGAATTTCTCTGAATAAACATGACTTCCAATTCGGGGAATTTCAATTATGACCATTTCAATCGGTTATATTTATCTGATGTAAATGCAAAGGACCTTTCATAACATCAACAGCAGACTGTCAGACAGACAGAAAGGCATTAAAGCGGTCTTTGTTTGTGAATTATGAATGTGTGTGTGTGTGTGTATGACGAACGGTCTGTGCGTAATTTACAAATGAGAGTATGTTTTCATTCTCATTTTTCTTTCGCTCTCGCTCTTGCTTTGCGGTGATGTGTAATTTTGCCGGCATTTTGAGTTGCCTGAAAGTATGCTTCAGTTTTCATCCACACACAACTAATAATTCATTGTTGCCGTTGTTGTTGGCTGTGGCCTTTTTCTACTGTTTATAGTAAATGTTAAACGTTGCCTTACATATTATTGAACGAAATGAGGGATGACGGGAGGTGATGACGGGAGGTGATGAAGTTACGTGGAAGTATTGTGGTTGTTGTTTATATCCTCCCCTACCTCTCTTACACCTTGCACTGCCAACACACAAAATGCTTATCAACAAAAAAAATGCCAAAGCTTTTTCGATTGACGTCATCCTGGAAAGGATTTTGAGTTGGTTTTTCATATTGTAGTTGTTGTTCCATTTGGAGGAGCATGCGCTCTTTCTTTGTTTTTATGTGCGATTGGCATCTAAGGGTGTGTATGTTCCTATATTGAATTGTTGCCAACATTTTCCCCACAAATCTGTGGAAGGATTTTCTACCAAGAAAGCTTAGTTAGATTTGGTAGTTACTCTCAGGGTTTCACTCTCTCGCTCTCTCTCACTATCTTCATGAGTGTGAGGGAATTCCTAGGAACGTCAGAGTATTGTGGACGGGTCTCAGTATGGGAGATTTTGCTAAGTCAATTTCCATAAAATGAGTGGGTGTTTTATTTATGAGACAACACTGAAAGAAATTTTGGCCAGATGGAACAAAAAAATTTTCAAGGGGAAAAATATATATTTGTAGCTCTGCTGATCCTAACAAAGTATTTTTAGGAAAACTCAGGGCCAAAAAAGGCCTTAAAATATTAACACTAAGGCTTCTACAAACCTACTTTCTTTTATGTCTCTCTATCTGTACCTCAAGTACAATTCTGCATGTCTGATCTTTTCTTAACAAGGAGACCTTAAGAAATTCCCCTAAAAATCCTGTGCAATGCACTTAATGACTATAAGGATTCTGGAGAGCTTCTCCCTTGTGTCTGTCTAAAGTAAAAGTCAAAAAGAGGTTGTACCTTAATAATTTTCCCCAGTCCTTGACTTTTTTTCTTAGGAATCGCAATTAAAGTGATGAGGGTCTTTGAGAACTATTGTCTTAAGAACCACTTTTAAAGTTTTTTTTTCCAGCAATTAAAAAATCTGACTTCAAAAATATGATTCTCTTTTTTTCTCCTTCTTCCTCAAGCAAAAACCAAAAAGCTGTTGGTCTTTAAAAAAAAAATCTTGAAATCCCTGATACAATCACGCTTGAAGTTATAGGGATCATAAAAAAGTTTTCGAAAATTTATTTTTAAAGGACTTTTGTTTTTTGGGACAAAAATCAAAATTTTTAAATAGTTACTCTCTAATTTTCTCTCCGTGTACCCCGTGCAAGTAACGACCTACACTCCATCAGCGACAGAAAAAATATCCCAGCACAACGGCCTACGCATTCGGCTTGTGTGTAAGTCTCTGTAATCCTGTAAGTAATGTCTGGCGTTGAACTTGGAATGGGATAACATTTGACACCATCTGATTGCCTTAATTTATTTTAAGCAATACACAAAAGTAATTCTAAAAATAGAACTGTCAAATATTCACGAAGGAATACAGCAACACAAACAAAACAACGCCAATCAATAACGAATGGCGAGAAACTGAGTGGAAAGGAAATTTGAAATCTCAGAGGCACAGTGTTGCGAGAACCAGAGGGAGAGTGGCAAGGGACAAGGACTTCTGATTTTTGAAAATTAAGGGAAAACAGGTTAATAACTATTAACTCTGACTCCATGACTATTGACGTTGAGTCAAAAACTATTGACTCTGAGTCAATGACTATTGACTCTTAGTTAAAGAGTATTGATTCTTTGTCAATGACTATTGACTCTGAGTCAATGACTATTGACGCTGAGTCAACGTGTATTGACGCTGAGTCAATGACTATTGACGCTGAGTCCAATGACCATTGACTCTAAGTCAATGACTATTGACTTTGGGTCATTGAATATTGACTCTGAGTCAAATTATATTGACTCTGAGTCAACGAATATTGACTCTGAGTCAATGACAATTGACACTGAGTCAATGACTATTGACTCTGAGTCAATGACTATTGACTGTGGGTCAATGACTAATGACTCTGAGTCAATGATTATTGACTCCGAGTCAATGATTATTGACTTGGAATCAATGACTATTGACTCCGAGTCAATTACTGTTGACTCTAGGTCAATGACTATTGACTCTGAGTCAATGACTATTGACTCTGAGTCAATGACTATTGACTCTGAGTCAATGACTATTGACTGTGGGTCAATGACTAATGACTCTGAGTCAATGACTGCTGACATTGAGTCAATTACTATTGACTCTTTGTCAATGACTATTGACTCTTTGTCAATGACTATTGACTTTGCGTCAATTACTATTGACTTTGGGTCATTGAATTTTGACTCTTAGTCAATGACTATTGACTCTGAGTCAATGACTATTGACTCTGAGTCAATGACTATTGACTTTGAGTCAATGTCTATTGACTCCGAGTCAATGACTATTGACGCTGAGTCAATGACTATTGACTTTTGACTCTGAGTCAATGTCTATTGACTCCGAGTCAATGATTATTGACTCCGAGTCAATGATTATTGACTTTGAATCAATGACTATTGACTCCGAGTCAATGACTATTGACTCCGAGTCAATGACTATTGACTCCGAGTCAATGACTACTGACTCCGAGTCAATGACTATTGACTCCGAATCAACGACTATTGACTCCGAATCAATGACTATTGACTCCGAGTCAATGACTATTCACTCCGAGTCAATGACTATTGACTCCGAGTCAGTGACTATTGACTCCGAGTCAATGACTATTGACTCCAAGTCAATGACTACTGACTTTGAGTCAATGACTATGGACTCTCAATTAATTACTATTGACTCTTAGTCTATAGTCTATGACTATTGACTCTGGGTCAATTACTATTGACTCTGACGCAATGACTATTGACTCCGAGTCAATGACTATTGACTCCGAGTCAATGACTATTGACTCTGAGTCAATGACTTTTGAGTATAAGTCAATAACTATTGACTCTGAGTCAATGACTATTGACTTTGAGTCAATAACTATTGACTCTGAGTCAATGACTATTGACCCTGAGTCAATGACTATTGACTCTGAGTCAATTACTATTGATGACTCTTGACTCGAAGTCAATGACTCTATGTCAATGATTTTTAATTCCATGTTAGTGACTTCTAACCTTAAGACAACGATTCTCGTCAATATTTTCCTGAAGGGCCAATTTTGACCCGCATTTTTGTTTTGAAATTCCTCCTTATTTAAAATACTGTAACCTCTCTCTCGTGAGATGTTATTCTCTCTAAGAGAACATTCCTCTATTGTGGGAAAAATCAAACGTGTGTAAATTTCATACGGCCAACACACAACTGCATTTGTGTAGGTTTGTGTGTGAGTGCGTGCGTGTGTATGTTGGCAATAATAACACTTGTAGGTATTAGAATATTAAGAAGACAAAGCACGAAAATGGCAGCAGCAGCAATAACAACAACAGCAATAAGGACCTTAATAAATTCTATATGAGAAGTAAATTCGTTGTCATTTTGCTGACGTCACTAAAAAAGCTTTAGGGCCATTGGCTGGCTGATACGAATGTCTGCCAGTGAGTGAGTGTGTGTGTGTGCGTGTGATCGTTTGTATGAAAGGAAATTGTTTTTTTTTTCAAGCACCCGCACACACACACACACACACACACTCATGTGCACATAGATATGGGCTCATAACAGAGCTTATGGGGTCGTTTGGGTGTGTGTGTGTTTGTGTGGATGGTTGGTTTGTTGGTTGGCTCGCCAAGCTTGGAAAGGAACTACAAAATATTATTTCAGTTGCACGACAGCCGTGAACGTGTCTATAACGATTTTCAAGCGTGGCCACAAAGTACAAAACGTTACAAGAGATTAAAAACAATGAGAAGCTAAAAATAAATGCAAATGAAAATAACGGATTGTTTTGTTTTTGTATTGAAAATAAAAACCAAATCGAATTTTCTAAATTTTGTAATAAATGAGCTTGCAGGAATAGAAATTTTATAAACAATGCTGGGAAGCTGAGAATTTAAAAGAAAAAATAATTGTGTGTGTGGTTTTGTGTTCGAATGGCCTAACCCAGTAAAATGGAAATTTAGGTCACTTTAAGAGCACACGGAAATGTTAGGATTTTGTGCTACAAAAAAAAAAAAAAAAGAAACAACTGGCAAGTCAAGGGGAAATGCAAAAAAAATTTAAAAATTTTTAAAATAAAAAAAAAATAAAAAAATCGAAATTTCAAGAAAAGTGTGTTGTGATTCCAAATACCGAAATATTAATGAAAAATTGAAAAACAAATCGAAAAGAAAAATTTTCAAAACCAAAGTGGCACAAATCAGAATTCAAGGAAATCGTATGTGTATAGCTTGTTTTTGTTATTATTTCCCCCCTCCCCCATATTGTCTTTTTCATGTTGGTTTGTTTTTGTTATTGTTGCTGTCGTAATTGTTTTGTTTGGAAACGAACTACAAAACTGGAAACAATTCTGGGAGAAGCAGAGACGACTCGTACAAAAAAGAAAGACTAAAAATCAATATATTGAATTTCTGGCTTTTCTTTGAGGAAAATGTTTTTCACTTTGTTTGCAAAGGAAATCATCAACATCATCAACATCATCAGTGGAAAGGGGGATGTAGTCGTTATAAAAATAGTTTTGGAGGCTATGTTAGGTACAATTAAATAATTAAATGTCTCCAAATGTTATTTTACCTTTTCGGACAGGTATTTTTATGAGGGGTAGTAATTGTCACAGAGCCGAGGGGGTGTTTGATTTATGGGTAATCATGTAAGGAACCCGACGAGGAAGGGGTGTAAACTTTGCACCAAGAACTGGGGTAGTTTCAATTCAAAAGTCAACAAACTATTTATGTCTTTTTTTCCTGGAAAGCTACACTTTTTTTGAAGGAATGGAAAAAAGGCTATAAAAAACAGCCTTCCAAGGAATTGTCTTTGGGCGATGGGCAATAAATTACAAGCAACTTTTTAATAGAGATTTATTGAATTCTTAGGGAGATAGCTGGATATTTGGAGGGTTTGAAACTCAAACCCTCTTAAAAAATAGGAATTATGTCCAATGAACCAAAAATTCGGCCTGGGTGCAGGCAAAAAAATATGGATCGAAGAAATCAAAAACAAAAAAAAGAAAAAATCGACAGGATCCGAATTGGTAAATTATTTGAAAATACATTCTACCAGGAAACAGGTGAACAAATATGGAAAGAAGATTTAAAAACCAAAAAAAAAAAAAAAAAATGACAGGATCCAAATTTTTAAATTATTGGAAAATTCGGCCTGGTTGCACGTCAAGAAAATATGGGTCGAAGAATTCAAAAAAAAAAAAAAAAAAAAAAAATCGACCGGATTTGAATTATTAAATTATTTATTTATTTGAAAATATATTCCAACAGGAAACAGGTGAACAAATATAGAACGTAGATTTCAAAAAAAAAAAAAAAAAAAAAAATGGCAAGATCCAAATTTGTAATTATTGGAAAATACATTCTATTGGAAAATACATTCTAATATTGGACCGAGCAGAAGTAAAAAAATTATCATCTCCCAATAAGGATTTTTCGGATTCAAATATCCAGGAGATTTATAATTCATTCCTATCTTTTCGATTTTCAAACTTTATCAAATCTTTGACCAAATTTTTATTTTTGGATTAAATTTTAAAATTTTATCTAAATTTTACAACATTCTTCTTTTCATTTTCAAAAAAATTATATCCTCAAAAATCTGCTGGAATTTTGTATAGCTATCTCCAGCATTATTATAGACCAAGGAGAAAAAAGTGTAGAACCTCAAATGCTTCATTTTTTGTATTTGGAAGTTCAATTTGACCGAATATAGGAGGAAACATTTCAAATATTTTTGGTTTGAAATCTATTTTTAACTTCCAAATCCAGGGGCTTGACACAGAAACAGGATTTTCGTCATTATTGCTGCCCGATAATTTTTTAAAATAAGTGTAGGAAGGAGTTACTTGCTGTTACTGTATCTAAATTCTCAATTTTTTTTAAATATTTACGGAGAATAAAAAAAAAATAATCGGAATTATGTCCAAAAAACCAAAAATTCGGCCTGGCAGAATTTTAAACAAAATAAATTGGTAAATTATTTGAAAACTACATTTTAAGTTCGCTAGAAAGATTTTTGTTACATTAGACCGGGCAGAAGTAATAAAAATTATTATCCCCAAATAAGGATTTTCTTGAATTAAATAACCAGGAGATTTCTAATTCCGTCTTTGTCCAAAATTTATTTTTCCATTGAATTTTAATTTTTCATCTAAATTTGCCGATTTTTTTTTCTCTCAAAAAAAAAACATCTTAAATTTCGCAGGAATTTTGAATAGCCATATCCAGCATTATTTTTGACCAAAGATGGAGAAAAAAAGTGCAGAACCTTAAATGCTTCATTTTTCGTATTTGGATGCTGAAATTGGACGAATATAGGTTTGAAATCCATTTTTTTTGACTCAGAAAGCGGAATTTCGTCATTATTTAGGCTCGACAAAATTTCGAAATTGGGGGTAGAACGGAGTTACTTGGAAAACTGTATCTAAATTCTTATTTTTTTTTTTAATATTTGCTGAGACATTTACATTGAATTGAGGAGTTGTGGTTCATATCCAGTTTTAAGGGTTATATCTAAGAAACTGGATTTTCGCAGAGTGATGAAGGAATTGTTAATAAAGATCCAGATTGTCGTACTAAATCAAGGGATATATATCGGAAATCAGATATTCGGTGTAGTTTTAGCCAAATATAATTAAATATTATTTTCGAATAGGCTTTTGAAAACTGACCCCTTTTCCCTTTCATTATTTCATTATTATAAAATCAGTTGCCTGAAAATCTCCGAAATTTGGGCCTTGGGTCATATGTTCATCAAAACAAGTAAAAACACTTAATCGTTGTCCATTTTGGTTAATTTGTAGGCCTTATATTATTTAGAATTTTTTAACAATCAAAAATCACAGTCAGTTCATCTGGGAAATTTTATCAGGATCTCATACACACTTAAAAAAAGATCGAAAATCGGTAGGTATGGGGATATAGTAGATATTGGAATTTCCCTTCAAAATACCAATAGTTAAGAGGTACCCTTATATGCGATATATATCATATTTTTAACCTATATCAAACCGTTTTTTTATAAGCAGTCGGATATCGAAACTTAGGTGGTTTCAGGGCTATGACATGTTTTGGATTTATACTAATACTTTTTTTTGCTGGGAGAAATTCTGCCCTATGATAATCCGAAAAATCAAAAAAAAAAAAAAAAAAAAAGTAGCGAAAACAAATTGAGACAGAAAACTTTAAAATTTTGAAAATTTCGAAGATGTTGGGGTCGATTCAACTTTTAAACACTGAAAATCAGGAGTTACCTTCATATGGTACCGATCGTCTTTAACCTTTAGGAGGTCTTCTTCTATAAAATACCTCTAGAAGGTCTTCTTGTATAGGTCTTCTTCCATAGAATACCTCTAGGGGGTTATCTTCCACAAAAGACCTCTAAGAGGTCTTGTTCCACAGTAGACCTCTAGGAGGTGGTCTTCGTCCATAGAATTACTCAAAAGGAGTTCTTCTTCCATAGAAGGTCTTTTCCATAAAATACACCTTATCAAGACAATTAAACAAGACATTAGAAGACAAGAAGGTATTCTTTTATAAAACACCTCTAGGAGGTATTTTTCCATTAAAGACCTCAAAAAGAGGTCTTCTTCCATAGAAGTCCTTCAAAGGAGGTCTTCTTCTGTGAAAGAACACTACATAAAAATAATATGAACCTTGTCTTGGTTCTAACAGAAAGACACGCAACGGACTTGGCTAATTTGACACTGATTTTTACTTTTGACAATAATATGTATGTATATTTAAAGGAGGACCCTTTTTTGGGGTATTAAAAAATTATGAAGCAAATGGGTAGTATGAGTAATGACAACATACATACGCCATATGAATTATTAGAAAAATTGAAAAAATTGAGAATATTCGAGATATAGGAATTCCAATGACCTGCCTTTTTACCAGGGAAATGGAGAGAAAAAACCATTGCCCACCGTGCGTATGAGCTTTGTCACAACGTATACGCCGTATGGATAATAAATTGAAGTCTGGGACAATATTTTTTAAATGTATGACTTCCAAGATTATTTAAGATATTTTACCAAGATTCCGTTATAATTTGGATATTTATAACAAATTTTCGTATAGAGCTTTAAACTCTAAATTCAAAATATAAAAATTTGATATTATTTAAGATATTTTGCCAAGATTCCGTTATAATTTTGACACTTATGAAAAAATCCCATACAGAGCTTTAAACGTGGAATTTACTATCAAAATTCTGGTATCAACCTAAGGGCAAGGGTGAGTTAGTTGTGAAATATATCATTTCCCATGTTGGCCTAAAAATTGTTTGAGGTCATTTCCCAAGATTTTGCCATCTTTCATAATTATCTTGACAAATTTTCCAAAATAAATCATTTGAGTCGTCAGACCGTATGATTTATGCCAACACGTATACGCCATATGCATCATTGAAATCTGGCAAAAATATTTTGGAAATATTTTGATTGGTTGATAAAACTGCCAAGGTTTTATAATCTCTTTCTTATTAGTACTCTTAATAATTTGCGAATTGAATGAAATCCATTGGGCCAACATGTCGTATGAGCTATGTCAACACTTATACGCCGTATGGAGAATAGGGAAATATTTCCTCTATGATTTTACTAATTATAGAATAGATGTTCATTGGTGTTCTACAGGGAGAAATTGACCCTAAAAATTCTGAAAATTAAATTCAAATTCTGAAAATTGTTAAATACATGGAATATTAGAACTTTTTCATGTGATTTTGTAAATGCTCAAATCGAAAGCAGTTAGACCTTAAATTGATGCCTCTGATTTCAGATCTATAATGTTATTTTCAAGTGGTCCACCCCATATTCGGAAAATTTTAGATGTGTTTTGAAACGGAATATTTGGTATTTAAGTATTTAGAGGTTTAAAAGTAGCAAAGCCTGATCAATATTAACTCAAATTTTCGGTGGCGCCCAATTTAAGATATCTTTAAAATAAATTGGAAAATTTTCCGTACAGTTTATTTTAGCCAGAAATTTGTAACAGTTTCCACCTTGAACAATAAATATAAGTGTAGGATTATAACCATTCGGGCTATAGATATCGGCTCGATTACATTCGGGTTAAGTTACCGAATCGATGGTATATGGGCTGATGGAATACGGCGCTTAAAAATTCGGGTTGTAATTACCGGCTCGATGGTACTCGATGTTAAATAGCCAAGTCGGTCTTAGTCGGGATTTATCCGTTGGCTTGTCAGTATCATATTCTGGACAGGCGTCTCAATGCTTCTCAGGTTATAACTTTTCGTCGGCTTGCTAACGCATGGGTTTGATGTCATTCCGGCCTGATATCATCAGCCTATTATCTTTACGGTTTTAGAAGTCTGCTCAATGCTATTATAACTGAATGATTTAGGCTTATCTAGATGCATGATACATTGGTTTAAGGTAGAGGTCCCGCTAGTACTCGGGTTTTTGTAGTCAGACTGGTGAGGTCGGCTCGCCGACATTCGGTTGGTAGCAGTATTCCTGATGGTACTGGGGTTATTGAAGTAGAAGTCTATAATACTTGCGTTATGACGGTCAACCTAATGAAGTCTGATCGAGCCTGATCGATGATTTTGAGCTTTTAGCAATTGGTTTGATGGAACTCGGCTTGATGATACTCGAGATGTAGTAGTCGGTTGGTATGGTATTCTAATAATACCCAGGATGTTGCAGTTTGTTGGGTCTAATGTTGTTGCTACTAACGTATTTGATCTGATATGATCGGCTCGATCACAAGGGTTAAAATGGTGGAGAAAAGGATTTAGCACCTCTTGTAGAAATCAGCTCGGCCTGATGATGACGGATATATGATATTTTGACTGATGTCCTCAATACGATAATATTGGTATTATATCGGTCGGTTCGATGTAGCTGATAATTGGTTGTAGCTGTCGCTTCTATGGTATTGGGGATGTAGCAGTTCGCTTTAGAGTGTTGGGGCTGATGTTGCAAGCTATACGATATTCGGGCAGTTGTCGGCTTGATGTTGATGTGTCTGAGGTAGACGGCTTGATTTGACGAATTCGGGATTGTAGTAACCGATTCGATGGGTATCAGTCTTATGGAATTATATCGGTCGTTTCGATGTGACTGATAATTGGTTGAGGCTGTCTGCTCGATGATATTAGGGCTTTAGCAGTCAGTTCTGATGGTGGTAATCGTGTCGATGATACTCGGTATATAGATATCGTCTGCATAATAGCAGTCAGACGGCTCGATGGCATTTGAGGTTATATAGACGGCTCTGCGGAACTCGTGCTGTGGCTTGAATATTGTAGGCTCAAAGGTATTCTGGCTAAAATAGACGCCTTTATGATATTTGGGTTGTAACAGTTCCGTCTTAGACTGCCCGGGCTGATGTTGCAAGCTATACGATATTCGGACAGTTGTCGGCTTGATGGTGTTGTTTCTGAGGAAGACGGCTTGATTCGACGAATCTTGAATTGTCGTAACCGATTCGATGGGAATCAGTCTCAAGTATTCAGGGTTTGGTTATGAGTATGATTTATTTATAATTTTTTTTTTAATATTTTTATTAATCATACGCCCATTAAATTCAAATCCTAGAATCCAGTTATTTAAATAAAGTTAAAAAATAAAAAAAAAAAATAAATAAAAAATTAAAATTGTTTGAAGCAATTAATACAGCAACAAACACAACAACATCTAAAAATTCCAAAAAAAAAAAAAAAAAAAATCTAAAAAATATATTTTCTCCCTTAGAACAATTTATTTAAATAGGTATTTTCTTAAATTCCTAAAATAAAAAAAAAATAATTCACTTCAAATTCAAAGACAAAAAAAGAAAAAAAAAATGCAAAAGGCCCGGGACAAGGAAACAACCAACAGCAGTTACAACAAAAACAACCGTAGGCAGTGCGACGACAACAAAGGCAGCTGCTCGAACAAATGATTACGTGTCATCTAAAACGAAATACAATAACAACAATTAGAGCTACAGCAACAACAACACGAAAAGAGAAAGTTGCAAGTAAATTGCATGCCATACAAGTTTAACCTTTAAAACAGCTGTTTTTTCCAAACACACAGCAAGGGTACAACGTGAGAAGAGAGAAACGTGGAGACGAGAGAGGAGAGAGTGAGAGAAAAAAGCTTTCACATTCTCAAGAGCGAAAAACGACACATTCGTAACATATCGTGTCACATATGCAAGTCGTGCAGCAGGTGCATTTGTTTTGACAAAGGAAAGAAACAAAAGCAAAAACAACAACAAAAAAGGAAAACGGAAACAAAAGGAAACAACAACAACAATAGCAACTACATAATATAACAAAAGGCAAAAAATTTCGTACCGAAACGACGAGAGTAGGAGCAGCAACACACACACACATTCACGTCCTTCACTGTATCACATCATTTGGTTTTTGTTGCTGCTTTTGTTGTTAACGTTGTTGCACCACCATGGAGGCTACCCCGAAAGTACATCGTCATCGTCCACGACGTACCGAATCACGTCATAGGCGAACGGAACGTCAGACGACCACAACGACAAGCAGTACCTCCGACAGCAAATCACCTGCCCGTACCACAAATGACATCTTAAATGTGGAGGCAGGTGTGGCGGGTGCGGCCACGACATCCGATGCCTTGATAGCGGCCGTGGCCACACGACTCATGCAGGAACACGAACGTCAAACCTCCACCGAAACCGTGGATACAGTGGCCAGCGGCAGTGGCGGGGGTGGGGGTGGTGGTCACAGCTCCAGTCAAACTTCTCAGCAAACTGTGGTCCTGGTCAATGGTCATGCTCCCCACGATCAGGCCACCGAAGACGAACAACCCGCTACGGAAATGAATCACACTGCAGCCAACGAAAACAACGACCTAACCAAACCCTCAGAGGCGGATGCCAGTGAATTGTGCACCGGACCGCCCGATGGCCCCAGCAGCAGTCGCAACTCGTCGGGCGATGCCATGAGTCTACGCGAAACACTACAACAATTACCTCCCACCATTACAGCGCATCGACATCGTCGCACCCTCTCACCGCACTCACCCTCACGCCGTGTCCTCGAAACGGCAGCCGATGCCTCATTTCATCGCGGCATCCTAGGTTTCATGGATCGTGAACTGAAACAATCCTCGCCCACACCTTCGGCTCTGAGTGCCGGTAGCGGTGGGGGTGGTGGTGGCAACGGCGGGGCTGGACGTAAACATCAATCGCTGTCCGATCCAACCGCCAGTCCAGCCCAAAGGTCGGTACGTTCCCGCAGCAGTCTGGAGAAAAGTCCACGACGTAAGCGCAGTAAATCTGAATCGAGGCGAAGGAGAGAACGAAAACTCATTGCGGCCGGGGAGATGGAGGTGAGGCAGGCCAATGAGACACTGATGCGTTATCTGAAGCAGTGCTCGGAAATGAATGATGCCTCATTGTCGGGCGAGTTGGAAATCGATCAGAGTCTGGAGGAGCGTCGAGTGCATCGCAAAACGAAAAGTCAGCGGAACAAAAGGGGTCACATAATAAGTGAGTATTGAAAAATTGTTATTTTTATTGAAATTATTTTTGATTCAAATTTTCAATGTAAAAAAAATATTGGAACCATATCCAAAATTTTGAGCTGAACCCCTGTTCGATGACCCTCTTAAGTTGAAGTACTACTGAAGCTTTTCTATTTAAAGGAAAGTTTCGAAGTTTTCTGGTAGAAAAGAGACGTTCGGAAGTTTTTTATAGTACGAAGTTATTCACAGGCTCTTTTTAATCTTAGAAGATTTTCCGAAGTTCTTGTATTAAATGGAGACCTTCGGCAGCTGGTGTATATGTAAAGATCTGTTCAAGATTTCCTGAAGCTAAACTACTCTCGAAAGCTATTTTATGAAAATATGGTCACCTGAGTATATTTTATAGAGAAATGACTTTCTAAAGCTTTTCTAAGGAAGGTCTGTGCTTCTATGAAAAGAAGACATTTTAAGCTTTTCTAGGTATATATGATATTTTAAAACTCTGCCATGGAAAGAAAACATTCAGAACTTTATCTACGAAAGGCTCTTCTATGTGTAGAAGACATGATCAGGATGTTATGCAGAAGGAATACCCTAAGAAGTTATTCTATGAATGAAGGAGCTTCTAAAGTTCTCTCCTTGTGAAGCACTTCTGTGTGTTGAAGCGATTCTAAGGTTCTTTCATGGATTGAAGCCCTCGAAGATATTATATGCAAAGAAGACTTTTTAAAGGTCCTCCATGAAAAGAAGACCTTCCGAAGATCTTCTATTGAGAGAACCTCTTCTATGGGAAGAAACCCTTTCTATAAATGTAAGACTTTTGAGGCTATATTGTCGATATATGGCCTCATTTATTGATAGAAGGTTCTATGAAGCTCTTGTGTAAAAAAGGGGACTTCTGAAGCTCTAGCATGAAAAGAACTCATCTTCTATGAAAATCCTACCCTCTAAAGAAGATATTTTGAAGACCATCTGCAGCTCTTTTGTGGATAGAAAACTTTATGAGACTTGTCTATGAATAGAAGATTATCTCTTTGGAAATAGGTCGCTGAAGGCCTTTCAAAGCTCTTCTATGGCCAATGGTTCTCTTAAAGCTCTTCTATAGTCAAACGATTTTTTAACAGTTTTCTAAAGCCCGAATACATTTTGAAGCTCTTCCAAGGCTCTAAGGCCTTTCTGTATTGAGAATGCTTCGAAGCTCTTTTATGGCTATTTTTTTGTTGACGTACTTAACCTTTCCTGAATTTAGAAAATTTAATCTTTCCTGAATTTTATTAAAGCTCATCAATAGCCAAAAGACCTTTCAAAACTCTTCCGTACTTTGTAGATCTTTTGCATCATTTCTCCAGACATCAGAGCTTTTTTAAGGGTTTTTTGGTTTTAGGAGACTTTAGAAGATCTTCTTTTTGTCAAAAGATCTCTTAGAGCTGTTCTATAACTCGAATACCCTTTGAGTTATCTCATTTGATGACCTTTTATCGCTCCTCTATAGCTAGGAAAATAACTTTCGAGGTTTTTATATTTAAAAGACCTTTCAAAACGATTCTATAGCCAAAAGAACTTTAAAATATATTCTATGCCCAGAAGACCCGAAACTATTTATTTACAACCCGAAAATATTTAAAGTTTTTTTTTTATAGCCGCAATACCTATAAAAGCTCTTCAATGGCGACAAGACCTTTTAGAACTTTTCTATAGGCAAGAAATGATGTAAGACCTCTTCTGGTTCTAGAAGATCATTTAAAGGTCCTCCACAGGCAAAATACATTTTTGAGCTCTTATGTAGTCCGAAGAACTTTCAAGCTTTTTAATGGTAATAAGACCCGTTGAAACCCTTTTGAAATATATTCCTTGCTCAGACGTGGGTTTAAAACTCTTCTTAACTCTTCAAAGTTTTGTTCTTCATAGCCACAGGACCAAAAAGTCATTTAAAACCTGTTTTTAGGGCTTTTCTACGGCCAAAGAATCCTTTAAGACTTCTTTTGTAGGTAGAAGATAATTTGAAGCTCCCCCTGCGCTGCAAAATATCTTTTTTGAGATTTTCTGTAGTTGGAAGACCTCTAAAGCTCTGTTATGGAAATCAGACCGATTGGAAGGTGTTGAAAGTCTTTTCTCGCTAGTTGGCCGGCTCTTAAGCTTTTCTGTGTTCAAAAGTAATATTAGGTGGAAGAGCACTTAGAGCGTTTAATTTTAAAAGGCATTTTAAGGCTTGTCCATAACCAGAAGATCTTTTAAGCATTTCTGGAGTTAGAAGAGCTTTGACGGCGTTTATCGCTAGTTGATCGGCTCTAAAGATTTTCTGTAGACAAAATAATAATTCTAGGTGGAAGAAAAATTATAGTGGCATTTTTAGGCTAGACCAGAAGACATATTAAGCATTTCTGGAGATAGAAGAGCTTTGAAGGCGTTTCTCTAGAAAGAATGACGTATGACACTCTTTTTAGCCAGAAGACCGCATTCAAAGCTCTTCCTTAGCCAGGTAAGCTTAAAGAACGTGCATTTAGTGAGTATAGTTTATAATGCACTCCCAGAGACCTTTTAAAGCTTTTTATATTCACGAGAAAATTTCAGAAAAGAAGAGTCGTTAGGAGCCTGTTGCGTATGAGTATTGATATTTTTTTGAATTGTAATATTAATCATACGCAGCCAAAATTATTATTCGAAAGCGGATTTTTTTAACATTTTTATCTTTAAATGTGGTTCAGCAGAAGTCGTCAGAGAAGTCTAAACGCAGTTCAAAATATTCATTTGTGTCAGGCATGTTGGGAAACCTGATTTTTTATAAAGAATACCAAAATAAGGTACAGAAAATTATTCAAAAAGAAGGTTTCAGGATATTTAAAAAATGTAACCATTAGCGTATGATTATTATTAATTTTTAATTTTTTTACATAAATCATACGCCACAATAAACAATTTTCAGATGTGGAATTTTTTCTCTTTTTATTTCAAAATATTTACCTTTGACCTTCCTGGCCACGGTCCACAAGGCATCATTAGAGGCAAAAAGAAACCAATCCCATTTTTCCTTTTACCTTTCAAGTTGTCCCAGTGCAAAAAAAGGGGGGAAAAATACAGGAAGTAATATCACATTTCATCAGACAGACAAAGTCATCAGGCAGACCGTCAGCCACTTAGTTATTGAGTTAGTCAACAGATCGAGGGGCGCATGAGAATAATTGTACATTCCCATATCCGTTCTTTTGTTTTCCCCTTTGACCAAGCAAATTTCGATTATTATCATGGCTTGGAAAAAATTGCACGTCTGTGGTAATAGGTAATACCTGTGGATGACCAGTGGCCATTGTAGCCATTGAGAAAAATTTCAAAGTCATTCAAAAGGAACTACCCACACATTGACTAACAGACGGAGGAAGCATCATCGTCATCATCAGGTTATGGTCTTGCATCCTCTTGTATTTTCATAACAAAAACGCAAATTCTTTCCCCCTTTCATTCCCTTCCCACCAACATCCATAGTTTTTAACATTCGTTGGTTATTATTGAGAGTACTTTGCAAAATACGCTGGTTGGCTGTTCAGGCAAATGAGATTTCTAGTTTGCTGATATTATTTTTTCATTATTTTTTTTACTACCATTATTTGTTGTAGTTGCATGTTGGGAGAACACACACACACTCACATAGAGACCAATTCAACTCAGTAGTTCTTTACACTTGACCTTTAGCGTGGCATGTTTGTCGTTCTTGTTGTGGATGCTGCTGCTGCCGCTGTTGATGTCGGTGATGACTGGCATTGCCGCAGCCGTTACCATTGCCGTTCTCAATTCCATTCACTTTGGCATTTTCAAATTAGGGCAAATTATTTTTTATTATTCCCCCCCCCCTTTCTTCGATATTATTTCATGCCCCTTTCCCTCTCTTGGGCTCTCATTGGCTTGCATTTATTTTAATTTGTATTTTGTGTTTTTTTTCTATAGTAAATGGATAAAGAGAACATAATTTATGCACAAAAAGAAGGAGAGGAGGAATGAAATGAATTGAAGAGCAAAAACAAAAAAAAAAAAAAAAAAAAAAAAAAAAACAAAAAAACAAATGAAAAAGGCCACGGAGGCTGTTTCATCATCAACTCTTGGTCTCTTTTGGTTGTGAATTCTAAATTTAGAGGAAAATAATTTTCTTTTGGGCTGAGGGTGTTTAGTTTTATCAATGAACAAGTAAAAAAACATTAAGTTCGGCCGGGCCAAACTTTTAATACCCTCCACCCTAGGGTAAAAGAACATTAGAAGAAATGTGGCAAAAAACATTAAAATGCCGAATATCGGGAGGTACCGTTATATAGGGGCTACACCAACACGTGCACCTATAATTACAATGTTTCGCCACACGAACTAGGACCCATTATGACCCACAAATACCAACTTTTACACAAATCAGTGAAAAAATGTGGCATAAATCATCAAAATACCGAATATCGGGAGGTACCGTTATATGGGGACTATACCAGAACGTGGACCTATACATGCAATGTTTTGCCACACGCTCAGGGACCCGTCATGACCTACAAATACCAATTTTCAGATAAATCCGTGAAAAAATGTGGCATAAATCATCAAAATACCGAATATCGGGAGGTACCGTTATATGGGGACTATACCAGAACGTGGACCGATATATCTCATTTTCAATACCAACCATCCTAGGGACAATACACACACTTGTGCCAAATTTCAAAGGTCTACGTCAAATAATGTGGGCTCTATCGTGATTTCAACAGACAGACGGACAGACAGACAGACAGACAGACAGACGGACAAATAGACGGACATCGCTAAATCGTCTTAGAATTTTATGCTGATTATGAATATATATACTTTATGGGGTCTACGACGAATATTTAGAGGTGTTACAAACGGAATGACAAAGTTAATATACCCTCCTACCAATGGTGGAGGGTATAAAAATTCAAGAGCAATTTGTAAGGTTCTCTTAAAGCTCTTCTATAGCCAAAAGATCTTTTAACAGTTTTCTAAAGCCCGAATAAATTTTTAAGCTCTTCCAAGGATCTAAGGCCTTTCTGTATTGAGAACGCTTCGAAGCTCTTTTATGGCTAATTTTTTTATTGACGTATTCAACCTCTCCTGAATTTAGAAAATTTAACTTTTCCTGAATTTTATTAAAGCTCTTCTATAGCCAAAAGACCTTTCAAAACTCTTCCGCTCTTTTGCAGCATTTCTCCAGACATCAGAGCTTTTTAAGTTTATTTTTTGTTTTTAGAAGATCTTCTATGGCCAAAAGATCTCTCAGAGCTATTCTATAGCCCGAAGCCCATTTGAAGTCCTTCAAATGCTTTAAAATGTCTTCTATAGCAAGAAGATATTTAAAAGCTCTTGTATAGCCAGAATATTTTTATGGCAATAAGAGTTCCATGGCAATAAGAATTCCAAGTCATCTCAGTTGATGGCCTTTTGAGGTTTTTATATTTAAAAGACCTTTCAAAACACTTCTATGGCTAAAAGAACTTTTGAAGATATTCTCTGGCCAGAAGACCTTTAAAAGGCCTTCCTTGGTCAGAAGATGGTTTTGAGCTCTTTTATAACCAGAAAACAAAAAAATTTCGTATGATTAATACGATTAAATATATAAATCATACGACATGGTTATTGAAAGTAATCATACGCCAGGGTGAACTAAATCAGCATATCTCTAAACTAGATTTTTAAAGTCTTTATCGTTTTAATGCAGAGCAAAAAAAAGAAAAAAATTAAATCCAAAAAAAAAAAAAAAAAATTAAAAGGCCAAGGAGGCTGTTTCATCATCAACTATTGGTCGCATTTGGTTGCGAATTTTTTATTTAGAGAAAAATAATTTTTTTTGAGGTAATCTCTCTCTTCATGAGCAATTTGTAAGAAAAAAAATTGCGTATGATTAATACGATTAAATATATTAATCATACGACATGGTGATTTGAAATAATCATACGTAAGGTTGAACTAGATCGGTGTAACCCATCTCTAAACTAGATTTTTAAAGTCTTTATCTTTTTAATGCAGAGCAAAAAAAAAATAAATAAATAAAAATAATAAAAATAAAACAAAAATCGAAAAAAAATTAAAAGGTCAAGAAGGTTGTTTCATCATCAACTCTTGGTCTCTTTTGGTTGTGAATTTTTAATTTAGAGGAAAATAATTTTCTTTTGAGGTAATCTCGGTAGAGGTGGGTTTTCAGGTTTATCAATGAAAAATTCATCAGCAATTTGTGGATAAAATCTTGCGTATGATTAATACAAATAAATATATTACTCATACGACATGGTGATTTGAAGTAATCATACGTCAGGGTGAACTAAATCGCTGTAACCTATCTCTAAACTCGATTTTTAAAGTCTTTATCGTTTTCATGCTGAGCAAAAAAAAAAAAAAAAAAATAATAAATATAATAAATTAATAAATAATAACAAAAAAAAAATGAGAAGGTCAACGAGGCTGTTTCATCATCAACTGTTGTTTGCTTTTAGTTGTGAATTTTTTATTTAGAGGAAAATAATTTTCTTTTGGGGTAATCTCGGTGGAGAGGGTGGGTTTTCAGTTTTAACAATGAAAAATTCATGAGCAATTTGTAAGAAAAAAAATTGCGTATGATTAATACGATTAAATATATTAATCATACGACATGGTGATTTGAAATAATCATACGTAAGGTTGAACTAAATCGGTGTAACCCATCTCTAAACAAGATTTTTAAAGACTTTATCTTTTTAATGCAGAGCAAAAACAAATCTATAAAAACAATTTCCAAAAAACAAAAAAAAAAAAAAAATAAAAATAAAAAATAATAATAATAATAATAATAATAATAATAATAATAATAATAATAATAATAATAATAATAATAATAATAATATAATAATAATAATAATAATAATAATAATAATAATAATAATAATAATAATAATAATAATAATAATAATAATAATAATAATAATAATAATAATAATAATAATAATAATAATAATAATAATAATAATAATAATAATAATAATAATAATAATAATAATAATAATAATAATAATAATAATAATAATAATAATAATAATAATAATAATAATAATAATAATAATAATAATAATAATAATAATAATAATAATAATAATAATAATAATAATAATAATAATAATAATAATAATAATAATAATAATAAGGTCAAAGAGGCTGTTTCATCATCAACTATTGGCCGCATTTGGTTGTGAATTTTTAATTTAGAGAAAAATAATTTTCTTTTGGATAATCTCAGAAGAGAGGGAGATTTATCAATTAAAAAATGCATCAGCAATTTGTGGGAAAAAATTGCGTATGAGTAATGCGATTAAATATATTATTTTAAATAATCATACGCCAGGGTGAACTAATATCGGGCTTAAGGAGTAAATCGATGTTAGGGATCTTCTAACTTGATTTCAGCTTGATGAGAGTACACGCTTATGTAGAGGGTAATATTTCTGATTTCTTACCTGCAATTATTCGCAGTTTTCGTCTCTTCGAGGCTCTTATTTTCTTCTGGGGAATAAGGTTTTGAGAGTTTTTAAGGAAATTTTTTACGTTTTGAAATTTTGTTCCAAGACCCATAAGAAAGTGGATTTATCTAGCATTTTTTCTAAATATATTACTCATACGCCAAGATAATTTTAAATAATCATACGCAAGGGTGAACTGATATGGGGGCTAAGGAGTAAATCGATGTTAACCATCTCTAAACTTGATTTAAGCTTTATAGAGTACAAGCTAAATCAGAAGTCTTCCGGATTTCTTTCCTTAAATTTTTTTTTTTAAAATTAATGAAGATTTCCCAGTTTTTGACCCTTTGAGGCTCCGAATTCCTTCTGGGGGAAGGTTTTGAGACTTTTTAAGACAATTTTTTTAGGTATTGAAGTTTTTTAAGATTAAGATTTTTGTATAATCCGTAAATACCTATTAATGTCTTACCACTTTTTTGTCTAAATATATTACTCATACGACATGATAATTTTAAATAATTATACGCCAGGGTAAGCTTTTTTGGGCTTTAGGAGGGGCTTTAGAAATCGATGCTTCCCATCTCTAAACTTGATTTAAGCTTGATAAAGAAAAAGATAAAGTAGAAGACCACCTTCCTGATTTCTTACCTGCAATTATACACAGTTTTCGTCCCTTCGAGGCTCTGATTTTTTTTTCAGGGGAAATGTGCTGAGACTTTTTAAAGCTATTTTTTAGGCATTGATTTTTTTAAGATTTTTTCTATAATCCAAAAAGACCTATTAATGTGGATTTATTTGGCATATTTTATAAATATATTACCCATTCGCCAATATAATTTTAAATAATCATACGCCAGGGTGAACTGATATCGAGCTAAAGGAGTAATTCTAAGTAAATCTTACCCATCTCTAACCTTCATTACAAGCTTATCTAGAGGGAAATCTTTCTGATGTCTTACCTGCAATTATTCGCATATTCGGTTCTGAGACTTTTTAAGTACATTTTTTAGGCATTGAAGGCAAGGGTCAACTAATTTTGGGTTTTAGGAGTGAAGTAGATTAAATTCTATATTCTATATGCCTTAAAATTCAAGTCTCTAAAGACCTTAAAGATAACTGCCATATGTGGTGCTTATGAAGTGATTTTCAACTCTTTATCTTCAAATCTTCTATTTACAGAAAAATAGCCAACTCAAGCTTTATCACCAAACTAAATTTAGCTCCGCAACATCCTTGAAAAATACCCTCCTTTTGTTGAAAAACACACACAAAGAATATTCTTTCCCATCCATCGATTTATTTTTGTCTTTCGAATATTTCCGTATTGATTTCCTTTTCGTATCTCCTTTTGATGGTCAATTCCATTTCATTTCATTCCTGTTTTCGTTTCTTTCTTTTTTCCAGGCAAATTCTATGCAGCCAGCGGCCTCACATCCCTGCTGAAAGAGCTGTCCGACGACATTATGCCAGCCGAGGGCGAGGAGATTTACAATCCATTTACACCGGTCGTCTCGCCCACAGACGATACACCTGCACACATCGATAAAATGTTCATGCAAACGTCGTCGGGATATCGTCCGGTGGATCATTGCTATGCGAAGCATTCGTTTATGCGTTCCGGCGGTATGAGTGGTCAAGTGAGGTGAGTAGAAAATGGGGGAGGGGGATGTAGTAATAAAAATGAAAAATACAAAAGAAAAAAAAAAAAAATAAATAAAGCTCTAAAGAGATTGGGCCATTTGTTAATAATAGAGATTTATGAATTGACAATCACACGCCTTACATTCCAATTTTGTTTGAAAGCTTACATATATCATTTCCACTTCAAAGAGATATTTCCAGTCCATAGGAAATATATTCTAGGTGGTTATATCCAAGGAAGAGCTTCAGACGATTCTCCAAAAATGAAAACCTTCTGAGAATCTACTAAAACCAGAAAAGCTTCTAAAAATATTTTATCCATAGAAAATTTTCAGAAATTTCATAGGAAATTTTCATAGTCGGATTTTCAGAAGACATCCAAAAGTTTCACTTCTTAGAAAAACTTTCAAAGTAATGCGGTTCATGAAGAGCTTTAAGTTGTTTTTCATTAAAGAGCTTCAAAAGGTCTTTTTTTTCTAAAGAGAAGCTTTTGATGGTCATCAATACGTTCGAAAATTCGGAAGTTCTTCTCTACAGATAATAAAATAGTTTCAAAAGCCTTTCTTCAAAATTGAGATTTTGAGAGCGATTTTTATGGCTAGAAGATCATTTGATTTGAAGTACTATTGAAGCTCTTCTAAGGCAATATATATTATGGCTATATATAGAAGACGGTCTAAAGCTCTTTTGTAAACAGAAGCCCTCCGCAAGTGCTTCTTTAAAAAAATATACTTTCTAAAGCTCTTCTAGATCTAGAGGAACTTTTAAAGCTCTTCCAAAGCTATAAAATCTTCTTAAGCGCTTTTAATGATGGAATACCTTCTGTAGTTCTTCTGTAGCTAAAAAAACCATGGGAGGGAGGTCACCTTCAACTTAAGCTTTTCTGTATCTTGAAGACCTTGTGAACCTCCTCTGTAGCTCCACTTCTCTCTTTAGATCTAGAAGACTTTTTGAAGCTCTTCCATAACTATAGGACCTTCTGGAGCTTTTTTTTATAGTTAGATGGCCTTTTGAAGCTTTTTTATAGCTAAAAAAACATGTGGTGGTTATCTGCAGCTATAAGACCTTTTAAAGCTTTTGTGTAGCTCGAATACTTTCTGAAACCCCTCTAAAGGCCTTCTGAACCTCCTTTAAAGCTCTTTTGTAAATAGAAACCCTCCGCAAGCGCTTCTATAAAAAATATACTTTCTAAAGCTTTTCTACATCTGGAGGACCTTTTGAAGCTCTTCCTTCTGAAGTTTTTCTATAGTTAAAATACCTTTTGAAGCTCTTCAATGGATAAAAGAACCATCTGGAGGTCACCTACGGCTATAAGACTTTTTAAAGCTTTTCTGTGGCTCAAAAACCTTCTGAACCTCGTCTATAGCTACACGTCTCCCTTTAGATCTAGAGGACCTTTTAAGCTCTTCCATAGCTATAGGACCTTCTATAGTTAGAAGACCTTTTGAAGCTCTTCTATAGCTAAAAACCATGTAAAGGTCACCTACAGCTAAAGGCCCTTCTAAAGTTTTTGTGTAGCTCAAAGGCCTTCTGAACCTCTTCTGAAGCTCCTTCTCTCTCTAGAGAGAACCTTGTGAAGATAAACATGTGAAGGTCACCTACAGCTATAAGATCTTCTGCGTAGCTCGAATACCTTCTAAACCTCCTCTATAGCTCATCCTCCCTCTCTTTCTCCCCCTTTTCTTCTCTTCCTCTCACTTCCTCTCTCTCTCTCTCTCCCTCTTCTTCTCTTCCACTCTCTCCCCCTTGATATAACCTTTTGAGACTCTTCCATAGGTAGAAAAACATGTGGAAGTCAACTATAACTATAAGTCCTTCTGTAGCTCGAGGATCTTCTGAACATCCTCTGTAGGAAGAATATCTTCTAAAGCTTTTCAATAGCTAGTAGATCTAAAGCTCTATTATTGGTGGAAAATCTTCGATGTGTGGAAAACGTTCTAAAGCTCTTCCATGGTTAGAAGATCTATATAAACTCTTATACTCATAGAGGACGTAAGAAAGCTCTTCTATTGACAAATTACCTTTAAAAGCCTTTCCTGTAGCCGTCGACTTTCAGAAGCTTTTCAGTGGGCGCAAAATCTTTCTAGAGTTTTGCAAGAAATTCACATAGATTTTAAAGTACTTGTATCGTGGGAAGAGCTTTTAAACAGCTTCTATCCTTAAGAAGCTTTTAGAAGATTTTTAATCATTTAAATTCGCATATCAACAAAATATCTCTCAGAATATTAACCAAAGCCCGGTTATAGATACTTTTTCTCTTTTCCTTACTTCTTTATGACCTTCTAAAGCACTTCCATGTTTATAATATCTTTCATATCTCATATACACACATAGAAAACTCCTCCTCTTTTGACGAAAGACCTTTAAGAGGATTACAGTTTACACCTCCGACGACCTCCAGGAGCTTTTCAGTTGGTGGATTATTTGTAAGCTCTTAAAGTTCTTCCATTAGTGGAAAGGCTTTGAAAGGGTTTCCATCCTTATCCATACTTAAAGTAAATCTTCAAGAATTAGAAAAAAACCTTTTGACGAAATACCTTTAAAAGTTTTTTTTGTTGACAGACGACCTTCTAAAGCTTATCAGTCGGTGGACAAATTTAGGAAGCTCTTAATATACTTCCTTCAAAGAAGAGCTTTTAAAGGGTTTCCATCATTAGAATGAGCCCAGTAAGTCTTCAAGAATTTGAATACAGAGTGTCTACCTTTGGAAGCTCTTTCCTCTGAGACAAAGACCTTTAGATCTTTAAGCTTTCTCCGAGGAAAAGCTTTTAAAATACTTCCATCCCTGCAATACTTTTAAATGATAATCGACTATTCGAGTAAATTTAACCATAAAATGTACCCTTGAAGTTTAACTATAGCTCAGCTTTAGAGCCTTTCTCTCTCTCTCTTCCCTACTCCCCATTATTCACTCCTTAATTTTCTTCTATGAAAAGCTTTAAAAATATTTCAATACCTACAATAATTTTAGACATTGACATTCAACGTTTTGAATACATCTATCCATAAAACACATTCTAGAAGTTTAACTACAGCTCAGCTTTAGAGATTTTCTCTTCCTTCCTTACTCCCTCACATCCTCTCTTTAATTTTTTTCTATGAAAAGCTTTTCAAATTCTTCATTCCTAAAATAATTTTAGACGATATTCAATGTCTTGAATATATATATCCACAAAACACATCCTAGAACCTCAACTATTGCTCAGCTTTAGAGGTTTTCTCTCTCTCTCTTCCCTACTCCCCATAATCCTCTCTTTCATGTTAGGAAAAAATCGTTTGCAATAAATTTCTTTTCTAATTCCATATTTTTAGATATAGAAATTTAATTATATATTTGTTTTAATTTTTTTTCGCTTTTTTTTGTTTGTTTATTTTTAAAAACCCAGTGGTGATACTGGTGGCGGTGGTGGAGACGGCAGCGGCGGCAGTGGTGTTGGTGTCAATGCCGGCTATAATCTACGCCCAAGTGGTAGTTATGGTGATACTCGCTGCCTGCTCGATGGTGAATACTATGGGTGAGTATTTCAAAAAAATAATAAATAGGAGGAGGGGAAGGTGAAAAGGGGAGGGGGAGAGGTTAGGGAGAAAGAATAATGAGAGAGCATGTCCTTAAAATAGAAAAGAAGACATAAAGTCTTGACAATGGCAAAGAGTTTGGAAACTGTTGTAAGAGAAGAGAGAGAGAGAGAGAGAGCGATTTATTTTAGGAATAATATTTTCTGTTATGATTGAGTAAGAGAGAAGGAAGAGAGTAAGATGTTGTAGTTTTTGGTGAGTAAGAATATGAGAATGGGGGTTTCTCCGTTTTTTTTCTGTCTTCGATTTACTTGTTGTTGCTTGTGAGGTAGTACTTGCACCACTTCATGGTGTAGGTGCCACTGGGTTTTTTGTTTGCAACTCCCACTACTTTGCATTTAGCATTTATTTTGTTGCTTCTCCACATAGCTGCTGGCTTAGTTGTTTTGGCCTTTAAGTGTTTCCACCATTTAAATGTCATGACATTCAGTCTTTGCTATTTGCTTCCACGTAGTATTTGTGTGCATGAGTGTTGGTGTGGGTGTGTGTGTGTTGGTAGGTTGTGTTTTTTTGCTATTGTTGAACTTACGCATTTCTTATTGTTTTGTTGTTTTTTTCTATGTGCTAAGTAAAGAATGTGGTTTTCAAAGAAGTGCTGGCTTTGTTCATTGGCTCTTCTATGAGAATTGCTGTGTGAAGTTAGAAGGACTTGGAGTGTTTGTTTTGTTTTTTTTTCTTGCTCTCAGTAAAGGGCAAAGGAATATGGGATTTTTATGGGACTTTGAGGATATAAAGATGGAATATGGAGGGTATTTTATCTATAGGTTATATTCAGTCGTTATAAGGTCTTAATAAGAATTTCAAAAGTCTTCTATTTAAAAAAATTCTTTTCAAATGAAGCTTCTAAAAATCACAATTTTAGAGATAGTCCTGTAAAATTTCTTTAACTTTCGTTTCAAATTGGCTTTAATATTTTTTTACTATTTTTCAAAAATTAACTTTTTTGAAAAAACGAAAAAAATTAAAGATTCGAAATGATCAAGAATCTTAATTAGCAGAAAATTCATGTCGATTTTTTAAATATTTTTTTTGCAGCAGCAAATGAGACCTGGAGTTTTTTTACATATTTTTTGAAGATCCTATTTATATATATGTAGCAAATATATTGAAATTTTTAAAATTAAAAAAAAAAATTGAAATTTTTTCAATTTTTTTTCTTTTTAAATTTAATTTTTTTTAATTAATTTTTTTTAAATGTAATTTTTTTAAAAATTTAAGACTTTTTTTGAAAAATTTAATTTTTTTTAAAACAATAAAGATTTTTTTTTGAAAAAAATTATTTTTTTTTTGGAAATTTTGAAATTTATTTAAAATAATACCCAAACCTCCATATTAGAATTTATTTATTTATTTTTTTTTTGAATAATTTTGAATTTTTTTTTAAATTAAAAAATTTGTACCCTTAGGGTTAGGGTATAAAATATGGAGCTATACGAAATCGTGGACCGTAATATGTTCCGCCATGACCTACAAATACCAATCCGTTGACAACTGTGATAAAAATCATGAAAATACCTTGGGAATCGTTATATGTGCACTATAGGAAAACGTGGACCTATATATACTATGTTCCGCAACAGGAGCTAGAACCCATTATGACCTTAAAATACCAATTTTCAGATAAATCCGTTGAAAATGTAGCGGAAATTATCAAAATACCTAATATCGGGAGGTATCGTTACATGGGGGCTATACGAAAACGTGGACCTTAACGTTTCGCCACCGGAGCTAGAACCCATTATGACCCTCAAATACCAAATGTTAGACAAATCCGTGAAGAAAATGTGGCAAAGATCATCAAAATACCGAATAACGGGAGGTACCGTGGAGGCTATACGACAACGTGGACCTACGCATACAATTTTTCGCCACCGGAGCTAGAACCCTTTATGACCTATAAATACCAATTTTTGGTAAAATCCGAAAAAATGTGGCAAAAATCATCAAAATACCGAATATCGGTAGGCATCGTTATATGGGAGCCATACGATAACGTGGACCGATGTATCTCATTTTCAATATCAACCATTATAGACACAATACAAATTGTTCTGTCAAATTTTGAAGGTCTACGTCAAAGAATATGGGCTGTATCGTGATTTCAAGAGACAGGCAGATGGGCAGACAGACGGACATCGTTAAATTGACTTAGAATTTCATGCCGATCATGAATATACATACTTTCTGGGGTCTACGACGAAAATTTAGGGATGTTACACACGGAATGACACCTTTTCAAGGTGGAGGGTAGAAGAATACTTGAAATAGGGATATACTCTTATATATGGGGCTACGTGGAAAAACGTGGATCGACATAATCCATATTTTGTTTAAATGATTCCCCATGTAACCCATAGGCCTTTATTAAATTTAAAAGCTAAAGCTTAAATTTTGTGAAGTTTAGATCATCCTCTGTGTATGGTTAAGGTTATAAAAAATGGGCCTTAAAAAAGTTTGGCCTGGGAACCCAAAACTCTTTTGGGATTTTGATTTACTAACCAAATGCTATCACCTCTATAAATTTACACTCCTCCGATTGGCTGTTGCACCTTTGGTGACCAATCTTCCACCAAGGCTCCCAAAATCTCCTCGACTTCTTCGAGAAGTGAGAAATTTTTTAAAGCATGACTCCTGAATACGGTTTTACACTCAAAAATCCGTTATAATTATAACCCCTCGTCCCTCCCTTTAAACCCCTCGCCCTCCCCTGCTTCTTTTCTCTATCAAAGTTTTTCAAAAATCTGTTGTTTTTCCTTATCCCTTTTTTCCAACACCCTCCCAAACCCCTTATTCTTTCTTAAAATCCTTTCATACAACTCAGCTGCTGCCTTCTTCTTCAAAATTGCATTAAAATGCAACACCTGCAACACAACAACCATAACTTTTCAAAACGATATATGTGTATAGATATATAAAATCTCGGAGAGGGGGGAAGGGGGTTCGGGGACTACAGGCTTAAAAAACTGCATCAGCCACATACTGTTACAATTTTTTTTTTCGAACATATTTTTAACTGCAAGGATTCTTGCATTTTTTTGTTTCGTTAAGTGGAATTGCACTTTGAAAGGATGTTGGGAAAAATCTTGGTTTTTTGTTACTCCAAAAGAAAAAAAAAACAATAATAACAAATTGAGATTAAATGATGATGTTGTTGTCGTTTGTAGAGAATTGAAAAAAAATGAAAATGACTTTCAGAATGTCTTTCAGGAATAATTTCTGCAATAACTTGGATGGAAATATATATAAAAAGTAAAAGGACAATGGGGAGAAAGGATTTTCAGTCTCGGTTTTTAAAAATATATTTTTGAAAAAAAAAAAAATATTTTTTCAAATCTATCTCTATTTTTTTATTTTTATTTTTTTTTAAATCCTAAAAAATAATTAAAAAAAAATTTATTATTCATTTTTTTTTAATTTGAACGTGCCTCAACGAAGTAACATTTTTGAACTCTCTTTGGATAAAATCCGTTTCAGGGCATTTGGAGTCGATCTAGGGGTCCGAACCTTTGTCTGTCTGTCCTTCTTTATTGAGCAAAAATATTTAAATATATCTCTATCTGATGTGAATATGGAATCCAGTGGTTAACTCCCTCTCGCAACTCCCCCCTTAAAAGGTTAACATTTTGAAATTTTCTCAAAAAACTGGAAATAAATATTGGATTTTCTTAAAAAATTTGCACATCTCAATATTTTTATCAGTACTAGATGAAATAACTGACTGACTGTGAATCAGCGCCCAGACGAAACGGCCGAAGGTAGAATCTTGAAACATTGCCTGAGGATATGATAAGGTTGGGGTTTTGTACCTAAAAGGGTACAAAAAGTGTTTAAATTTACTAAAAATTTAATATTTTGTAGTGGACCAACGGAATTAGCTAGAAATCTGAAATTGCGTATGAAAGTCACTGATGGAGTGTAGGAGAGATGTATTTAAGAGATTTTTTAGGAAACTTGAACTTTAAGTTTACAAAAAGTTATAAAATGGTACTAAGCTTCCGAAATGGTACCATTTGCATTTATAGGGCAAAAAATTTGAAGTTTGGTATTGGTAAGTAAGTGGGATATATGAAAGTGGTTTTCGGATATGTTCTAAGTGTGCCAACTGTACTAAATGGTACTAAAAATTTGGAACAATTTAGTTGAGGGTGAACAGATTAAGCTGGAATTTTAAAATTCTGTATTGGGGTCTCTGTTGGTGTAGTAGGTTTGCGATAAATTGGTAATTTTGGAAATGTGTACTACATGTTCATGAAAAGTACTAGATAGTACTATATTTGGTCCAAATTGGTATTTGATGAACAGATACTGTTTGAAATATGAAATTTGGTATCAAGGCCTCTGTTCTTGTGTAGCCTGGTCATATGGAGGAGATTTCGGAATCAAGGTATCAAGGCCTCTGTTCTTGTGGGGACATATGGAGGTGTTTTCGGAAAAGTGTACTATATTTGTAGGAAAAGTAATGAGTGGTACTATATATGGTATTGGGTGAAGGGATAAGTCTGGAATCCTCAAATTTGTTATTGAGCTCTCTGTTGGTATCTGGAATTGATATATAGAGGTGGTTTTGGAAATGTGTACCATAATTGTACAAAAAGTACTAAATTGTACTAAATCTGGTGTTGGGCCAAGCAATAGGTCTGAAATTTGATATGGATATCATTGTTGGTGTCTGTAGTTAAGAGAAAAAGGTAGTTTCAGAAATTTGTACCATAATTGTACGAAAAGTACTAAATGGTACTAAGTTTTGTATTAAGTGAAGGGATAGAGCTGGAATTTCGAAATTTGATATTGAACTCTGTGTTGGTGTCTGAAAATGAGATATGGGATTGTTTTTTGGAAATGTATACTAAACGGTACTAAATTTTGATGTAGGAATGGGGCTGGAATCATGAAATTTGTAGGAATGCCATTGTAGGTGTCTGCAGTTGAGGAAAGGTGGTGGTTTTAGATAAATGTACTAGAATTGTACGAAAAGTACTAAATGATACTAAATTTGGTATTGAGCGAAGGAATAGAGCTGAAATCCTGAAATTTGTTATTAAGCTCTCTTTTGGAATCTGAAAATTAGATATGAAAATGATTTTAGAAATGTGTACTAAAATTGTACTAAATAGTACTAATTTTGGTTTTGACTTTGAAGGGATGGAGCTGGAATTTCGAATTTTAATATTGAGGGATCTGTTGGTGTCTGGAATTGAAATATGGAGGTGGTTTTTGGAAATGTGAGGGAAGGAGTTGGTTTCAGATAAATGTACTATAATTGTACGAAAAGTACTAAATGGTACTAATTTCGGTATTGGGTGAAGGAATAAGGCTGTAATTCCCAAATTTAATATTGAGATCTCTGTTAGTATCTGGAATTGAGATATGGTGGTGGTTTTGGAAATGTGTACCATTATTGTACTAAAGAGTACTAAATTTGGTTTTGGCTGAAGGGATAGAGCTGGAATTTCGAATTTTAATATTAAGGGATCTGTTGGTGTCTGGAATTGAAATATGGAGGTGGTTTTTGGAAATGTGAGGGAAGGAGGTGGTTTCAGAGAAATGTACTATAATTGTACGAAAAATACTAAATGGTACTAAATTAGGTATTGGGTGAAGGGATGGAGCTGGAAATTCGAAATTTGATATTGAGCTCTCTTTTGGAATCTGAAAATAAAATATGAAGATGGTTTTAGAAATGTGTACTAAAATTGTACTAAGTAGTACTAATTTTGGTTTTGGCTGAAGGGATAGAGCTGAAATATCGAATTTTAATATTGAGGGATCTGTTGGTATCTGGAATTGAAATATGGAGGTGATTTTTGGAAATGTGAGAGAAGGAGTTGGTTTCAGATAAATGTACTATAGTTGTACGAAAAGTACTAAATGGTACTAATTTCGGTATTGGGTGAAGGAATGGGGCTGTAATCTCCAAATTTAGTATTGAGATCTCTGTTAGTATCTGGAATTGAGATATGGAGATGGTTTTGGAAATGTGTACCATTATTGTACTAAAGAGTACTAAATTTGGTTTTGGCTAAAGGAATAGAGCTGGAATTTCGAATTTTAATATTGAGGGATCTGTTGGTGTCTGGAATTGAAATATGGAGGTGGTTTTGGAAATGTGCACTATAATTGTACGAAAAGTACTAAATGGTACTAAACTTTGTATTGAGTGATGGGATAGGGCGGGAATTTCAAATTTGACATTGATGTCAAATTTCTGGAAATAAGATATGGAGGTGGTTTCGGAATTGTGTATTTTTTTTGTACGAAAAGTACTAAACGGTACTAAATTTGATATTGGGTAAAGGAATATAGCAGAAAGCCATAATTTAATATAGATATTACTGTTGGTGTCTATGTTTAGGATATGGAGATTGTTTGGAAACTGTGTACTCTAATTGTACATAGAGTACTAAATGGTACTAAATTTGGTATTGGGTGAAGGGATGGAGCTGGAATTACGAAATTTGATATTGAGCTCCCTATTGGTATCTGGAATTGAGATATGGAGGTTGTGTACTATAATTGTACTAAAAGTATTAAATGGTACTAAATTTGGTATTCGGTGAAGGGATGGAGCTGGAATTCCGAAATTTGATATTGAGGTCTGGCCTGATGTAATATTGAAATAAGACTTATGTCAGATACGAAACTCCTTGTAGGAAGGGATTCCCCCTAAAGGGTCAATATTTTGAATATTCATAACGCAAATCAAAATATATTGAAATAAACGAATTTTTATTGAGGCTATACATTTTTCCCCAAACTCGTATCAGTAACTTGTTGTATGATCGAAAAACTCATGGATTTTTTAATTTTTTTTTTTTTGGAGATGAAACAGACTTTAATTCTTAAAAATTATTTTTTTGGAGGCCCTAAATATTTGTTCTTTGTTTAATTTTTTTTTTTTTAATCTAATATATTTTCTAAAAGAAATTGAAATTTGTTTTAAATATCCCCAAATATTTATTTCACAATTCAGTTCATTTATTCAAGAAAAGCTCCTCAAAAAATAAATCAACATCCCTAATGGATTTTTTAAATTTATTTTTTTATTTTTATTGAGACGTAACAGACTTTAATTCTTAAAAAATATTTTTTTGGAGGCCCTAAATATTTGTTCTTTGTTTATTTTTTTTTAAATCTAATTTATCTTCAAAAAAAAAAAAAAAAAAAATGAAATTTCTTTTCAATATCCCCAAATATTTATTTAACAATTCCATTCGAGTATGTACGAAAAGCTCCTCAAAAAAATAAATTACCATCCCTAAAGTATGCTTTAATCTACTCCCAATTTATGTGGGCCTAAAAATATGCCACATTTTATCGGTTGTTTATGATTGCAGCTCATATAAAGGGTTGTGAGTTACAAAAAATAGTTCTAATTTAAAATCAAATTAAATTTCCTTCCCCACATTTCTCAGGGATTTGGAAATTGTCCCTTGGGCCTTAGACAAGGCAGCTAATGTTTAATTTTCTTCTGAGCGGGAGAGAAACAAACAAAAGAAAAGTTTCCTGCAAAACATATGCCTAACAGTCTTAGGAAAATAAGAAAATCCCCCAAGGATGGTGATGGTGGTGGTGGTGGTGGTGCTGATTGGTGACGATGCGAAAAAGGACGTCATTGGAGCTACACTCCCACACACACACACACACAAAACAACAACAACAACAACAACAACAACAATGTAGCCACATACCCTGTGAAGGTCGTTTGTTGTTTGGCAGAGTTGAGAGGCGCAGAGCTGGTAGGGAGTAGCCTAGGCTGCGTGTGCCCTGGCTAATGCCAGTGCCCGGTCTTAATAAGGTTTTTGCCAGCCATTTTCGTTTTTTTTTTTTTTGGTTTTTTGGCAATTCAAAGGAATGATGGCGAGAATGGAAGAAATGCCATAAAATGATGTTGCTATTTTTAGGCTCGAACTTTATTAATGGTTAGACGTGACGCTTGTTATTCCCAGAAAGCCAAGAACAGAAAAGCATGCAGACATTTGTTGTTGTTGTGGAGGTGTCTATTTTTAGAAAGTTAATAAAAAGGGATTTTGTGGAAGGAAACTAGCAGGGCCCAACAAGGCCATTATAAATTGAGGTTATGCTCGAAATAAAATATATTTTTATGTTGATTGTTTTTAATTCTAATATTAATTTTATCATCCTCCCTTCCTCTCCTTCTTTTAGTAACGAAATCACCAGCAACATACAATTGGCCTGCTTGACCCAACGCATTTGGCTGCTACTCTCGAATATTTGTCATGGCCTGCTAGCTGGTCTAGCTTTGGCCCATCTGCTATTCGTGCTGAGCACCCATCCCATGGAATGGTCCAAGGTTTTGAGTCTTGCGGGCGAGACCTCATCCTATGCCACACAAATGGAGGAGGCCACAACGGCTTCAACAATGGAGGACATGGAGAGTTCCACACCGGTACCCGGGGGCTCGAGCACAAGTCTGGTCCGAACCGAGTATGCATCCTTTGCCAATTTCTACATCAACACCTTCTACTGTCTGGCCATTGTGTGTATGGTCTCGGTGCTGGATAGGTAAGTCGGAAATTAAATGACGTTGTAAAGGCCACCACTGTGACCTCTGCTCGCACTGACCTTAGCGTGTCTACCTTCAAAAGTTATCTGTGTTATAATTTGTGTTTTCAAGGAGTTTTTTCTAAATTTCACCACAACACGCCACCGTTTTTTTTTTTTTTTTTGAAACCCATTGACCTCTCAGAATAATTTAGAAATAATTTTCACACCAAACACTTATGGTCTTTTGATTGGATAATGGAAATTACCGCTAAAGCTAAAGAGGTCAGGTGAAAAACAACAGAAAATATATTTTCACGTGATTAGGGGGAATTAAACCGAATTACAACAGCTTGTCAAAGGAAGTGGAGGAGTTTGAAAAAAGGAAAAACCGAAAAAAAAGAAATAAATAAATCATAAATTTGTTCAGCCCAAAAATAGGCAACAAATTATTTTTAAGGTCTGTCATGACGTCGTTTACTTCCAATTTAAAGCTAACCTAGAATTTTGTAATTTTATAGAATTAAGCGCCAAAAAGTATGCTATGAATTTTTCTGCATAAATTAAATGGTGCATAATTCTAGGCGAGATTCTTAAGTTATATCCCCAAATTAGGCAACAATATACTGAAACGACGTCTGTTAATTTCCTCAAATATCTACCTTAGATTTTTAGAAATTTTGCAGAAACAAACACCTAAAAATATGCACTGACATTTCATATTAAAATTATATGGTGCCTACTTTTGGGCGAATTTTTGTGGAATATTTCTGAAGGTATAGTTATAGTGAAATTGTAACAATAATATTTTAGAAATATCTCACAGCCCTTACTCATAGATTAGTTGAGGCAAAAAATCGATAACAAATTATTTGTAAGGACTGCTCTGTCGTCTATAAGTTCAGCCTTAAAACAGGCAACATATTTACAAATAATATTACCTGAGCTCAAGCAATTTCCTTGAATAGTTAGTTCTGAAAAAAAAAAATAAAATAAAATTCAGCATCTAAAAGTATGTACCCATATTTGCATTTCATATTTGAATTACATGGAGCATACTTTTAGGTAAATTTTTAAAGAAATATGTTTGAAGGACTGTAAATGGAGATTTTTTCGAATAATCTTTTATGTACGGTATGGTTAAGAAATTTTTATAAAATTATGTGTGAATAGGAGACATCGCTGCAATCCCTTTGAAGGTCTCCAAGGACAGAACCCCTTCTTAAGATATACCTTGGATGGAAGATATTCAGGACCTCTTTCTTTGCAGAAACACTTTCTTTGAAAGCCTTCTCTAAAGAGCTGTAAATACTTAACATTTACTAGTTTAATAAAGTACAGCGCCTAAAAATATGCACTATGTTGTTTATATTTTTGTGGTGCATATTTTCAGGCCGAGTTTTTAAACAAATACTTCGAGAGCCTAAAATTTTTTGCTTTTTTTTATGGAAAATATTAGATTAGAAACTTCAGGAAGGTTTTCCAAGACTCAGAAAGTAGTATAAGAGTTTTTTTTCGGGAACAATTAAGTCGTATAAGAGTTTATATTGGACTCACAAAGTCTCATTAAAGTAAATACGGAATCCTGGAAGTAGGTTTAGAGTTTATTCTGGATTCTTCAAGTTGTATAAGAGTTGTTACTGAATCCATGAAGTAGAATAAGATTGTATACTAGATCCACAAAGTAGTATAAGAGTTTATGATTCATTCTCCAGATCGTATACAAGTTCGTACTGAAGCTATGAAGTGAAGATGATTGTATATACTTATTATAAGAGTATATATTCGGCCAATACGTTTGTATAAAGTTTCACACTTAGTCTACGAAGTCGTATAAGAGTGTAAACTTGGCTTCGAAGCTGTATAAGAGTGTATACTTGGACCACGAAGCAGTATAAGAGTGTACACTGGGACCATGAAGTCATATAAGATCGTATAATTGATCCATGACATCGGAAAAGAATGTATACTGGATCCAAGATGTTGTATAAGAGTGTACACATAATTATCAAATCTGTATAAGAGTGTATACAAGCTAAATAAGGTCGTATAAAAGTGTATATCTTTATTACGAAGTCAAATTACAGTAGAAACTTGGTGAACGAAGTGGTATAAGAGTTTATACTTGGCCCACGAAGTCGTATAAGAGTGTATAATTGGAAGTCGTGTAACATGGTATACTTAGCCCACGATATTGTATAAGAGTTCACATTTGGTCCATGAAATCTTACAAGGGTTCATAATTGCTCAGTAAAGTCGTATAAGAGCATATACTTTATTTACGAAGTCGTATACGATTGTATAATTGTTTCACAAAATCGTATAAGAGTTTATAATTGCTCTATAAAATCGTGTAACAGCCTGTTCTTTTTTTATGAAATCCTAAAGGACTGTAAACGTGGTCCACGAAGTCGAATGCCAGTATATATTTGGCCCACGAAGTTGTATAAGAGTGTATACTAGGCTTACGAAGTCGTATAAGAGTGTATACTTGGACCACGAAATTGTATAAGAATGCATATTTAGTCGTGTTAGAGTGTATACTTGGTCAATGGAGTCGTATAACATTGTATACTTGATCTACGATATCGTATAAGAGTTCATATTTGTTCCATAAAAGCATATAAGAGTTTATAATTGCTCAATAAAGTCGTATAAGAGTGCATACTTGATGCACGATGTCGTATAAGATTATAAAATTGTTACACAAAATTTTATAAGAGTTTTTAATTACCCTATAAACTTGTATAAGAGTGTATATTTGGTCCACGAAATCGTATAGAATTGAAAACATGGTTCACGAAGTCGTATAAAATTGTATACTTATACGATACGATATCGTATAAGAGTTCATATTTGGTCCATGGAATCTTATAAGAGTTCATAATTGCTCAACAAAGTCGTATAAAAGTGCACACTTGATCCACAAAGTCGTATAAGATTGTACAGTTGTTCCACAAAATCGTATAAGAGTTTTTAATTGCTCTATAAACTCGTATAAGAGTGCATAATTGGTCCACGAAATCGTATAAGATCGCAAACTTGGTTCAAGAAGTCGTATAACATTGTATACTTGCTTTACGAAATCGTATAAGAGTTCATATATGGTCCAAGAAATCTAATATGAGTTCATAATTGCTCAATAAAGTCGTATAAGAGTGCATGCTTGATACACGAAGTCGTATAAGATTGTAAAATTTTTACACAAAATCGTATAAGAGTTTTTAATTGCTCTATAAACTCGTATAAGAGTGTATAATTGGTCCACGAAATCGTATAAGAAGTCGTATAACATTGTATATTTGCTTTACGAAATCGTATAAGAGTTCATATTTGGTCTATGAAATCGTATTAGTGTTCATAATTGTACTATATAGTCGTATAAGAGTGCATGCTTGATCCACGAAGTCGTATAAGATTGTTAAATTGTTACACAACATCGTCTAAGAGTTTTTAATTGCTCTATAAACTCGTATAAGAGTATATAATTCGTCCACGAAATCGTATAGGACTGAAAACAGGTTCACGAAGTCGAATAACATTGTATACTTTTTTCACGAAGTCGTATAAGAGTGTAAACTGGATCCGCTAAATCGTATTAGATTGTATACCTGATCAATGAAATTGTATAAGACTTTATATTTAGTACATGAGACCGTAAAAGAATATAATCGTGGTCCACGATGTCGTATAAGAGTATATAAGAATTTGTAAAATATATGAAAAGAATTTGTAAAGTATGTGAGTATTGACTGTACCTACAAAGACCTTTAACAGTAGATACTGCATTGGCGAAGTTTTATAACTACGAATGCGGGATCCTCTAGGTCGTATAAGAGTGAAGGCTGAACCCAGTATGACCTTAAAAGTCGTTCTTCGAATTATAATATATTTATATATTTCTTACGAGGATAATTAAAGTTCCACGAAGTCCTTGATAAGGATACTCTGTGATTTACAACCCTCTCCCAAAGATGAAAATGAAGCTATGAATTTCCAAAATGTCCCCCACGTCCCTGATAAAAAAGTCTCGCGAAATTTAAAACCAACTTTTAAAAATAACTTTTAATTTGGCCTGCCTTAATCACATAAATTTACCAAAGCATACTTTTAGGTGCAGTCCAATGTTAGCCCTGCCCGAATATGAATTACAATTGGAAAAACAATGAAAAAAGGCAGCAAGAACAATAATACGAATCCCTTTAAAATTAAACAAAAAACAACAAACGAACATGATGACATTGAAATGTTTATTTAGAATAAAACTACACGCACACTCACTCACACCAACACTGGCACACACATACACCTAAATGAAAAGCAATGGCTGTTGGGCGTCATTACCATAGCAGCAACATTTTATAGTAACAGCAACCAAGAGTATTTCATTCAATCTCTCCTCCTTTCCTTTCCCTCTCTCTCTCTCTCTTGCTGCCATTCTAATTCGCAATTCAAGAGACAGACAATTCAATGTTGAAGACAACAACAACAAAAAAACAGTACATTTGCTGTAGCATACTTTTAGTATAATTAAAATTAGATAAAATGTTAACACACCTGCGTGGGTAGACAGAAAAAACAAGTACCAACTTGAGGGAGAAGAGGTGAGGGGAGCTGGGGGGAAAAATTATGGAGATTGGGCCGAAACAATAAACCAACAGTTGTATATTTTTATTTAGCCGCTTGTTTGTGTTTCGTTTTTATTTATATTTCATTCAGAAATACCAACATTGTTTCTTTGATGCTTTTAGTTTGAATTTCTTAGAGGGAAAGTGGTGGTGGGAGAGAAAGTGAGAAGGGAATGTTAAGCCAAACTCGAGGTTGTTTTATTTTTATAATCAAAATTCTGTGAAGAATAATTTTAGTGAAATGAAGTATTGCATACTTTTAGGGGATAACAATTGTTCAGACGAGAATGATGTCTTTTTAAATTTGATGGCTAAAAGTATGCAATGCGAATATTAAATCAATTACTTACTCATGTAAAATAAAAACTGGTACAAAGAAAAGAAAAATCAGGA